ATCTGGTATTTGATAAACTAAATGACTTTTTTACTTGAGATAGATTATGTTAGGTGTGCACGGTGATATCTCTTTGTTAAACGTTATGGTTATTGTCGCGAGTAGTTCGGCGCTTGTAGTAAGATTTTTTACTTTTAAACTGGCTTCCTCTTTTACTCCATATGATTAAATTTTATTGGAAGGAAGTTGGTGTCAGTTTTTTGTCTTCTAAGCAATTTCATCAAATCATTAAAGACGCCTTTGAGTTTTCAGGAGATCTCTTCACTTTTGAGTACATGACAGCTTAATCGCTCGATGTCACTACCGGAGGTTGAGGCTATTGCTGAAACCAGTTGAGTAGATCTTCCCGGCCTGTAACGACTGGAACAGTTTCCAGTTCAAACTGCTTCTTTTGGGATGGTATTTTGCACTGGCTTTTGCACAGTTCGTACCAAATGTCACTGCTACAAGTTCTGCGCCATTCCGTTCGAATGACTGCGATGATTGATCAAAAACTGCTTAATATGTCCGACTCTCTCCACCGTGGTGCAATTCCATCCTATGTCAACGATGTCAATCAATGCAAGTGTAACTCTTACTGGTTTTTGTCGGATGGATTCCTAGCCTTTTACTCTTCTGTCATATTGCACATACTGGCAGTGAGAGCTTTCAGCCCTCAGAGCTGTGTACCAAAACTTATGACGTTCGTTTTCTTCAACACCATAATGAACAGATGGCCAAATTTCATGAGAACCTCGCAATGGCCATTAACCGTCGTCATTTCTCACCGCTACTTGGGAACAACGAAGTTCAACAAATATTAATGACTTTAAATATAAGTCTGCATTTGAGATACTGCTACTCGGCAATACGGGCGGATCAGTTCACTGACTATCCATCAATGACGACTATTACTGATTGGCATCATCAGGCTGGTGGAAGACCCCTTGCTCTTCAATTAATCGTTCGATTATTAAAACATTTCTGTCTGCCAGTAGCAACTTCAAGTGTGAAAAACCACGCTGTTCGGAATGGTATCGATTTGCGGGATCAGTTGCCAGTACCTGCGAGTTATGGGTGCGCCATGAACGCATGAACCCAATTCTACGATCCTCCAACATTTTTATTTCCTTTTCGTTCCTACTGATGAGCAAGCAGTTTAAATATCGCATCATCCCAGAGTGTTTCGGAATGTTGGTGGTCCAACAGAACCCAGTTTGTAATTCTTGACGTCAGCTGTGAAGAGTCACTTTAAAGGCCCATTTTTTGGCATAGTAGAAGTCAGAAATTACGTCTGTTATTCCAGTCCGTTGTCGAATATATGCGCTCGGAGGACATCTACACATTCTTTGTGCTTTGTCTGATTACCATATGTTCTGGTCAGCTATAGAGGTAGTGTACCATGCAGCGCCGCTGATCAAGGTGGGTAGGACTGTTGAATCGGAAGTTCTTTCTGCATCCCAGCGGACAGCTCAGAGTCAAGTTACGATGTTTCAATGCGCTTACAGCTGGCCCAGGCCTCGACTGTTTTTCCCGGCTAGCGAGTTCATGCGGTCTGCTTGACTACCAAGGTATACATATCTGGCAGCTTATTCGCCATTCGCGTAGATCCAGTCCTTGGGACAGTGGTCGTTTCGCATCCGTGTCGTCTTGAAGGGATTAACCTAAAATTCGATTGCCATCGATTCTTTGTGCGTGATCTTCTGTTAGAACTCCATCCTCTCTTTTGTAAAGATGAGGCAGTTTTCTTCATGAATACTGATGCCTTGACATCAGTTTAGGGAACTCCATGACCGCAACGAAGAAAGATAGTCATATGACATCGCCTTGGCCGACTCCTCGATGGACACTGATGCGATATGGTTCACCAAATAGCTTGATTTAGGTCGTGTAACCAATGCTCAATTGCTCGATCATGTTGACATGAATAGAATTTATGCCCTTTTCATGAAAGGCGTTTAGCACAGCCATCGATTCTGTTCAACTGAACACTTTCTTATAGTCGAGGAAGGCAAAACGGAGTGGCACTTGATATTCATTGCACTTCTTCGGCAGCTGAGGATGACAGTGTGTTAGGTGCATACTGGAAAGTCCTATTCGAAGACTGGCATATTGCCGACTTATGACTAATTTAAAGTTTTTCCCAGATGAGAACGAAGATTTTTTGATTTACGAGTTCTTGAGGTGAGTTTGTAGTTGCTTTTCTTCGTGAGAAGAATCGTTCTTGACGTCTGCAAAACTTTAGATCTTGATTTGCCCGTGTATTCCTTAAAGCATTTGGTACGCGGTTTAAAGAGGTTTGTTTTTCCTGCTTTGAGGTGTTCTGGCCTCATATCGTGTTACCTAGGCATTTAACACTTTTATGTTTCTGATTGCCTACGTAGCTTTATTCTAGTTGACTTCGGAATTGGCTTATTTGTGACAACTTCTGATTCACTCCTAGTTTGGAAGAGTACAGGTTGTGTGGGACTTCGCGCAGATCGCGTTCCTCCAGTTCTTACCAGTATTTCATGCTCTTCTTTCGTGTTTCAGCGCACTCACAATCCACTGTTCTAAGCGGATATCTCTTTCCATTGCTTGTAGGCTGTTCTTCCGTTCCGTAGCATCTCTTAATCGAAATCTCCTGCCCTTTCTGTAATCTTACCTGTACACTGCAGTGTGCACACTGTCAATTTTCTCTTCGGCTTTTACTTGGTTTCTTCTAACACTCAGCTGTTTTATTGAAGGGCTAACGCCTTAGCTGCTCGTTGACTTTGCTATCAGACATAATGTTTTAACGGCAGTCTTGATGGCATTAATAAAACGGCCATAATCCGCAGATTTTCGATTAAGAATTCATTGATGGCAGCTTGGCGGAGACCAGTGCGAACGTTGAATGGTTTCGACTTAACGCCATTAACTCTGACGCAGCCCTTGCTATCAGAATGCAATGACTGGATGGCCCTCAGCAACTTGCCATCAATCCCGTACGTACGAAGGCATGTCCACAGACTGTTGCGTGGGAGGATAGGTGATACGCTTTCTCTAGATCCACAAAGCACGTACACCGGCTGGGCGTACTGACACGATTTCTCAACAATCTGGCGCAGGGCAAAAATATGGTCACAGGTGCTTCGACCAGGCCGGAAGCCACACTGCTCTTCTTGAATCTTGACGTCAACTATTTCACGGCACCT